GTTGAGTCACTTTTAACTAGGCGTCAGAATTTGACGAGGAAAGAATTTAAACGTATCGTAGAATCTGAAGCACATCCTTGCAAATGTTTTTAAGACAAGCCAGTGGATCATGGCCATAATCTAAGATCTTGTACGACTAACCCAGCGCACCTCAGAATACCAGTATCACGCACTGTTAGGCACAAACATTCTTTTATTCCTAGAGATGCTAAACTTAACTTAATTTGATATGTATTTATAATATGTAGTGTTTTGAGTTTTTATTGTAATATTACCGTAATTCTTATCGTTAAAGGTAATAAATAAAGGTATTATTATTATTATACATGTTTTTTAGCGAAGACGACTGTCATCCAATCAACTGTATTTTAAAACTGTTTGTGAAGTAGTTTAAAGCTATTTAACGATGTAAAGACTATTTTTACCACAATTTGAGGTATTTTTATTATATTTCACGACTAAAACCAAAATAGCGTTAAAAGTTTGAATTGTTTTGGACATCTATTTGAATAATATTTGTAACATTTTCCCAGGTTTTCCTTGTATTTGAAACATATTTGCTATCAAAGTACACTTTAAATACAGTATTTAAAGTCTTTAAACTATATTTTCGGAAAGAGAATAATGGCGAGTTGCTAAATTTTTTTAAATACCGTATTTAAACTGCATTTTGGAAAGGAGAACCTAAAATCAAAGATTTAAAAAGTAGTTTTTACAAGTAAAGTTCAAAATCAGGTTTTAATTAGGATGTTTAAAGACTATTTTGAATATACTTCCTCGTTTACGACCTTAATGTTAAAACATGTTTGAAGAAGGTTTAAGAGGCAGTTCAATTTAAATTGTGGTTTGAAATGACGAACATCTTGAAATCTCTCCAAACAGGATTAAAACTAGCTGTTTTTACTGTATTTTCGCAAACTATCCTCATTTAAAAGGTATTTAAATGGAAACCTGTTTCCAAACCTAACTTAAACAGGCTGTTTATAGGGTGTTTTGTAAAAACCCGGCTGTCCGCTATGGTAAAAAATATACTTCAAAGGAAAGAAGTCAACCAAATTTATTTTCAAACAGATTTTAAATACTGTTTTCGGGGTATTTTTAAAAATTGATACCCGCAGTCACGGACTTGAAAAACAAAATGCAACAGACATGCAGATACAGTCTGCCAAATTATTTTTTATCCCAAATTATTTCCAGACCCCTACTCAATATCACCCATGTTTTTTAGGTACCCCCCCTTCAATCATGTTAAAAGATTTAAGGGCCCCCCTTTCTTACATAATACCCAAATGGTAATAACAAATAACATTTTCTTTACTTTACCGTTCTTACTCACTGTCACTTCCGAATGTGCCACCTACATAATCGTCATCTGAGACTGATTCGTCATCTTGCTGGTCAGCATAGGACATGGAGTCTGCCATTTCAAACTGTTTCTCTTTTATAGAATTAAGCTCATTATTTCGTAGTACATACATGGCAGCTGATGGTTTTTATTTTGTCACTTTTTTACCATACTTGCCAAGTCCATGGGGAGTTAGATATTTCTCACGTTCTTTGACAGTTAGTTGTTGCAATGTTCCTTTTAGAGACATGCCTAGCCAGTCATACTCATTGTATGTTTTTAGGTCTCGTTTGCTTTTGTCGGTTTGCCTCTGAGAGCCTCTCGAACAGCTTATAGAGCAAGGATATATCAGTGATTGTGTTATAATTGAGATAAGACAAGCCATCGAAAGGTTAGAGGCCGACAGGACCGCTTCAAGGAAGAAAGAAGATAATCAGCCAAAGCTTACTGCTTTTTATATGAGCAGTACATGCTCTAATAGCAAAAAACTTGACAGTGACACATACAGTGAGTTAACATCAACCTCATCTACAAATAATGATTCGGATGGTGAGATTGCATAACACGACTTTATGCATGTAACCATTTGTCAAAATGCTGATGAAATTGTTTTAGTATTACACAATATAGGACTTTGTGTAAAACTGTGTCAAAATCAGGTCCTTTAATACTCAAGCATCATTCTGCTTAGTAGAGATGCTACTTAAAAGAAACTTGAAGACCCCCCCTAAGGTCATCCTTTGGCATTTAAGGCCCCCCAATTTCTCCTCCACCCCCCTCTCCAACTTAAATTATCACTGGTCCCTTAAAGAACACGTCGTCTAGGCACAGCCCATTCTACAAAGGCACTATTCATATAGATGAGCCATCTCGACAGAAGTGTTTCGTCGTCAATCCAAAAGAACATTGATGAGAATTCTCAATTCTGGACACATCCGATTTCTAATCATGCGCGTACTTAATAAGTAACCAGTAAGTGTAAACGCCACAAAATTATTAAGCCTAAGTCCACTAGAAAACAAGACATTGAACTGCCATACAGTTGGGAGCTAATGTATCTCCCAACAAAAACGAACAGTCAGCCTTAAACGTCATCAGTCAAATAAAGCATCGAAACGTGCATGCATTTCGAGCCCATCGACCGGTTTGATAATTAAAACGCGCGTTGTCACAGTGTGCGACAGTGTGAAAGATCTACCGATCCCCAATCATTATTCATCGTGTCTCTCTGTGTATATCTCTGCACAGCCAGAATTCCCATCAACCATAACGTAACATTAACATGCAGTGTAATCTAAGTAGTAATCTAATCGATTTTGACACAGAACCGCAGTTACGGTGAACAAAGATAGAATAAGCCCTGAACAAAATTATTGCCCCCGCAGGGATTTCGCCCAGAAGGCAAGATCCCGAGGAAGCACTCTAGTAACTCGCACTTATATTAAGGAAAGTACTTACAGTTGAAATATACAGTCATACAGTCAATATAGAAAAAATCTCGATTTGCGCAAAAAGAGTATTTGTCAACTCTGTGGACTGTCCAGACGCGTAGATTTTGTTTTAATCACGAATCAAAATGTCTCCGAATTGTCAGCGACTGGCTTTTAGTTTTAAAGAACGGATCTAAGTTCAACTAGTGGACACACGTACTGTTTGAGTCTTCGCAATGCGAATAAATGTGAGTACGATTGTTCCTTATTTTAGAATAATCTGTTATTGGAACGTCTAGGCATACGCGTTATGAAAAGGACAGTTGGATATAGGGCCTTTCGAAGAGCGCTGTCAATTAATTTATTACCAGGAGCCATTTTGCTGTGTTTGCTTACCGATAGTTTTGATACAAAGTAATTTCGATACACGAGGCGATACATCTCGTTCTGATACAAATTGATTCAGTCGAGGTGTACAACCAATATTTCGCGACATTTGTTTTTCTTGTTCACGTGCAATAACTATACATCAGGTAATCGCAATATTTTTGCAGTTTCACTGCTTAAGTTCGTATCGAAATGACTCTTTTCCTTTACAGTTAATTGATCAGATTACATTCTTGCTCTCACGCCAAATGTGTCACGTTAATTAAGCTTTGTGTCCGTCCTCTTTCGCTCACACATAGCAATGCCAACCACAAAACCAACAGTGAATGCTCTGGCTCAGGCCTTGCAAGCGTCATGATGATTTTAGTGGAATCAAATATTATTGTGTTACATGTTGGTCTTGCGAGAATGAATGTATGTATAGTTGGCACGTAAAATTCAATAATGAAATTATATATTATAGACATTTAACATATTATATTGACCCAAAATGGTTGCCTAAAATGGTTATTTTTCTGCTTGGGAATTCCTAAAAAGTTTCAGGAACATGATATTTTGACATTTAGTTTGTTACATGTAAACAATCAGGACCTTATACATATACTGCTTACATGTACAGCTGTTTCAATAAGGGTTGCTTTAGGCATTGGGAATTGAGCAATAGTAAGCTATTGTTTGGTGGTCACTCAGGGAAATCATTGCATTAATTGTTTGGTATGCCCAAATGCCCAATAGCCAACCTTTACTTAATCAGCTATATACAGTGTAGCTTCTGGAGAAGCGACAACCACAAGCTATAAATGACATCCAGTATGTTCATTGATTACATTTTAAAACAAAATCTTCTAATAATCCCTTGTCCATACAAAAAATATGCAGTGACCTTGTTAACCTCTGCATCTTGTATCCCTGATGCATAATAATCCCCAAAGATGCAAAATAATAATATTCATGGCGTGCATTCCAATGGATGCAAAGATCCACAAAAAATCTGAACATGTGTAGTTATAGAAATATCCTGTTTGTGTATTCTGTGGCAGTTATTATGGCTGTTGTTGAAGCATGCACATTTCCTTTAGCCTTTAGAAGGACTGCATTTTAATTTCAGAGTACAACAGTTTATTTTCTACTACTGTAGACAACTAGGAGAATTTACAAGAAAATGATTATAAATAAATAAATAAATAAATAAACAGTACATATAGTAGTGGGACACCCAAAATGACTAAAAAGCGTAACTAGTTAGTTTGATCGCAGTTACTTTTTATCTTTGTTTCGGAAAGGCCAATAACATCGAATGAATGCTGTAGACCTGATAGCATCATTGTCAAACCATCATGGTTAGCACAAAGGCTTCTTATGTTGAAATGAATTGTAGAAAAGAAAGGCATAGATTTGCTCTGATTTGCTCTTTAAACTGCAGTAATATAGAGTTTTGGAGTCTGTCCCTCTTCGATCTGCTTAATTCTGCATATCCTAAGAAAGCCAAATTCATTAATTGCTAGTTAATAAAATGCGGTGGGAATTAATTTACAATTCCGTCTTTATCTTGGAACATATGTACAGTACCAAATGAGTAACATTCATGGAATCAAGGTTTTAAGAAGTCATATTTACAAGACAAAGTGAATTATCTTTTCTATGAGCAATAAAATATAATTATGTGTGTATTTAGATCCTTGACCTTATTGCTATTGTCACGTGAAAATACTAAGTATAGCCCTAGAAACCAAGGCATATGCTAAGTATAGTTGACCCTAGCAATGTGATGTTTATATAAGGGTTTAAGGTAGTATAAGAGTCAAAAGTTACAAGAGAACATTTTATTGAAAATTATTTCAGCTTTAAGATTGGTCGGAGGATCCAGGAGCTCGGAAGGAAGAGTTGAAGTATTTCATAATAACACCTGGGGAACAGTTTGTGATGACTCCTGGGATATAAATGATGCACATGTCATTTGCCGTCAGCTCGGGTATCCTGGCGCTTTTAGTGCTCCAGGGTCTGCCCAATTCGGGGCTGGAAGTGGTCCAATTTGGCTGGATGATGTGAATTGTCAAGGCAACGAAACTTCAATTCTCTATTGTGGGCACAGAGGATGGGGCATCGAGAACTGCGGTCACTATGAAGATGCCTCAGTAGTATGTTATGGACTAGGATCTGGAGGTAAGAGTGCTAAGCATGCTTTCTTTGTAAGACAAGCTAGAATACTCCACTTTCCTATCTCTAAGCGACATTCTCCTTAAATAAATAAGTAAATAAACAAATTTATAAAATGTTTAATCAGTAATAGAAGTAACAGATAATAATAAGTTATTATGATAATAATTATAATTTTTAATCAATAATAAATGATAGATACCTTATTCAACTTTTAAAAATATAATAATAATAATAATAATAATAATAATAATAATCCTAATAATAATGATAATGGTATTGTAATAATTATGATAATAATTTTATAATGGCAGTGAAAATGATAATGACAATAATAATGATAACGATAATACTGTGATAATAATAATGATAATAATCATATCTATAACAAATTTCTCAAAGCTGACTGGCTATCAGCCTGCGTGGTAGCCGGACTTGCCACTCCTCAGGAGGAGGAGAAAAAGCGGAAGTACCAACAGAGGGTGCTGGATGTTGAAATGGGATCTTTCACTCGCCTAGTTTTTGCAACCAACGGCGGGATGGGAGCCGACTGCAACTGCTTCCTCAAACGCCTAGCCGAGAAGCTCTCAGAAAAGAATGAGGAACCTTATCACATTACTATTTCTTGGATTAGAACATTGCTTTCTTTTGAGATTTTAAGGTCGGCACACACATGCGTAAGAGATATATAGTCAGGGATTTAGACGGTTTGCAGCACAGGCTAACTGGCTATCAATTGGCCTGACTTCAGCACTAATAGGACAATGTAATAGGGCAGTACGCGTCATGCCTTATTAAATGTGCGAAATTAAATGGCTTTGTGTCCTCCAATTCGTGTCGGTAAACATACTCGTTATGAAACAAATCAGACTCCCGCCACGCGGTCGTCTGATTACAGCCCGAATTGGACTCCACTCAGTCCTATTACCATTACAACTACTACTACTACTACTACTACTACTACTACTACCACTACCACTACCACTACCACTACCACTACCACTACCACTACCACTACCACTACCACTACCACTACCACTACCACTACCACTACCACTACCACTGCCACTGCCACTGCCACTGCCACTGCCACTGCCACTGCCACTGCCACTGCCACTGCCACTGCCCCTGCCACTGCCCCTGCCACTGCCACTGCCACTGCCACTGCCACTGCCACTGCCACTGCCACTGCTACTGCTGCTGCTGCAGCTACTACCACTAACAACAACAACAACAATAATAATGATAATAATAATCATCATCATCATCATCATCATTAAACGTTCTTCCTTGAAATTTTCCTTTCTAAGGTTGTTCCAGGACCATAAATAGTACGTTTGGTGATATTGAGGTTAATGGCACAAACAGCTACTATGAAATATGTCAGTGGACCATACTAAGTTACAGTATATCCCAGGCCGTGGCTTTGCTCTCTGTACGAGAATCATATCTCGTCTCTTGCAGGTAAACTTAATGACGTAGTAAATTCTTGTAACTAACGAAATGAATAAGAATAAGTCACATTTTTGTTTTGTTTTGTTTTGTTTTTACCTACTAAAGTCAGCCGGAATTGCTTTTTATTTCCTGATCGTTTTACTCAAGCTTTAGTTGTGTGGGATTCTTGCGGAAAAACCCTATTTGGGGACCTGGAAAAAATCCATGTTCGGGCTGCTAAGATTATCTTTGGTTTAAATTCGGGTACACGTCAAGCGACAAGGTGCTAGAATAGCTACATCATGCGAACTGGTTTTCATTCAATAATCTATATGATCATAAGTTGTTATTACTGGCCCATAAGTTGTTTTTACCAACCTGCTCCCGAAACTAAAAAGTACGACTGCAGTTATAATTTACGAAGAAAGATTACGTCTGATATACCTTTCCCTAAGACAATACTACTTCGTAAGTCCAGCTGCTGCAAAGCATGGAACTCTCTGGAGACTCACACAGAAGAATTACCAAGTTTTGACTCTTTTAAAAGGACACTGGAAATTCAGCTTTTTTAATTAAATATTTTTAGGTCGTGAATTTTATTGTACATAGTATTATTGATTACTTTTGATAACGATTTTCATAATACTTTTAGTTTTAACACGACCACATCAGCTCTGCTGTACTTTTCGATTGTCTACAAATAATTTTTTTTCCTTTTTACCCTCTTTGTGAATCTGAACAGCTGATGATAACCTTGCTTGAAAAGAAAAGTAATATCCCTAGAAGTGTGAAGTAAAGATATTTTTGCTGCACATGTATTGTCTATCAAAACGCTAGCACTTGATTGAAAGGACCTTCCGATGTGTCATTCCCAGCAACGTTGTCTTTTAAACTTCCTGGAAGCTGATGTTTCCTGACGTTACACTGATTAACTTTTCTAAACCGCTTTTTATCACTACCAATGATCACTGTGTATTGTCATTACTATGTATTATTGTCATTTTCATTGCCATTCAGATATTTTAGCTGTTATTAATTGTCATATTTTGTTTTTATCACACAGGGAATATGTGAAAATCACTGATGGAGTAGGTACCGAGGTTTTGCATCAACGAGGGTGCGTGCCTTTCGCTACAGAGAATTTGTTGGATGTACAGTTTGGTTCGTCCGGTAACATCTCAGTTCAAGTGTATTTAGAAAACGCTCAAAGCAGGGTGAAAATCAAGTTTGCGGTTTTGAAGAATGGCATATCATCAGGTATGTTTTAGTCGATACAGTGTACTGAATTTTACAAAATCTTGACATCACCAAGGTAACTGGTGCAGATAATGTCCCTGCTCGTATTCTCAAAGCTTGTTCTGAAGAATTGTCTACACCTTTAGCCCTTTTGTTGAACAGATCGTTTAGTCTAAGGAGAGTCCCTGAGCAATGGAAGCTTGCTAACATCACACCGATCTTCAAAGCAAATGAAAGAGACCTTGTGGAAAATTACCGATCTATTTCACTTCTGTCTATTCCAGGAAAGTGTCAGGAGCGTATAGTTCATACTGCAATTTATTCCCATGTCTCTGCTTATCTATCTGATTGGCAGCATGCATTTGTTAAAGGGAAATCTACTGCTACACAACTAATTTTGACTCATCATAAGTGGGCGAAAACACTTGATGAGGGACGCTAAGTTGACGTAGCCTTTGTTAGCTTTCGATCGTGTTCCCCATAATGTCTTGCTGCACAAGCTTGGTAATCTTGGAATATCTGGGAATTTGCTGAACTTGTGTAAAGACTACCTTAGTAACCGAACTCAAAGAGTAGTCATAGATGGTTATTCTTCCTCTTTGTCGGAAATTAGTTCCGGTGTACCACAAGGTTCTATCCTTGGACCACTGTTTTTTGTAATCTTCATCAATGATTTACCAGATGTAATCTGTTCTGATAATACCATTGCACTGTATGCAGACGATAGTAAGATGTTTAGAGTAATTGACTGTGATGAACATCTGATTTACTTCCAAGAGGACCTAGACAAACTCCATCAATGGAGTCAACGTAATCAGATGGACTTCAACACTAAAAAGTGTAAGATCATGAGAATCACTAGGAAACAAGTACCCTTTACTAACAGTGTGCATATGAATGATACCGTTCTTGAGGAGGTTAAAGAATTTAAGGATCTCGGAATATTGACTGATTGAAGTTTATCCTGGAACTCTTATACTGACATGATTACTGCTAAGGGAAACAATGCTGGGCCTAATTAAAAGAACGTGCAAGGATCTCAAGGATACAGCCACTTTAAAGACCTTGTTTTGTTCCCTCGTCAGATCTAATTTGGAATACTGTTCGGTTGTCTGGTCTCCTTTCACAAAGAGAAACATAGACAAACTTGAAAGAATTCAACGTAGGGCAACCAAGTTTATTCTAAAATCCAATGATCAATACGATATTCGTTTAAGAGAGCTCAAGTTGTTTGTTAACCCTTGAACAGAGACGTTTCTTATTTGATGTCACTTTTTTGTTTAAGGCCCTCAATGGCTATATGGATGTGGATTTTTCTCAATTTTTGGATTTTTTTTGTCAAGAGGATCGCTACTCGTTTCGACCCTTTGATAATAGATCATTAAAGAAGAGATTTGCGAGGACATATGCACTCAAAAACAGTTTCTTTTATAAGATAGTGGATAAATGGAACATTCTGCCTTATGAGATCCGCTCTGCTTCAAATGTCTGCCTTTTTAAATCCAAAGTTATGAAATTTTTATTGAAATGTGAATAATATATATTAGCTTGTATTTTTTTAAGTAATGTTACTGCTACGGGTAGTTGTTTCCTTACGATTGTCCAGATCGAGCGCTCTCTATGATGGTGGCCATCTTAATTCAAACCGTTCCCCACCAGCTAGGTAGAAAACACCTTATTCACGATACCCGCCATCTTTGCACGCGCTCTGGGATTGATGGGATAAAAGCAATGTCACGTGGTACTTCACGGGGCAAGCGAGTGATAAAAATTGCCAATACGAGTAATCTCTGTCGAGTTCTATTATTTTATCAAAACGAGACAACGATTTTTAATAAACATGCAAAATTTAGAGTTGGAGTTTCGAAAAGTTTTGTGATATTTCTGTTTGTTGTGGGGAAATCTACGGTCGCTACCGCACTTAACGAAGTATATATGATCACTTTCACCCATACCGAGTAATTTGCCACAACCGTCTTTAAAATAAACGTTCTTCATCTAGAATGAACAAACTCGACCGCGATTTGTATTCAAAAGAGATATACTTTACTTCCCTATGATGACTGACAGTTTTGAAGAATGATTTTTCGGTTTCTGTGTAGGATTAACTCTTTAACTGATCCTAGCTAGACGTTAAGTTCAAAAAAGAGAGACAGTCCATGCAAAGCCGTTTGAGGAATTTATGAACTATCGATCGCGCGGCTGCTGTTAAGGTAGCAAGCCATTTGGTATTTAGCATTAGAAGAGCTACTACATGACCTCCCTCCCCGGAAAGAAGAAAAACAATATGACCGCTAGATAAATCCTTTTGCCTTTTAAAGTACTCCTTTATTAATAAACATTGAAACATTGAACTATTATTTCGGGAAACAAACAGTGTAGTTGAAAAAGGATTCTTCAAAAATCTCACAGTAGGTCTCTTTTTCGATGTTAACTTGCAATATCGGTCAATTTACGCAACTTTTAAAAGTCTGGCTCAGTTTTCGTTTGCTTCTGCGCTGAAAATGGAATTATAATTACTTAGAGGCAATACAGTATTAAGATTGGTAGAGAAAAATTATTATAACGAAAAATGTACGTTAAAAACGAACTAAAATATTCAAAACGTTCCGATCACGTGACTGATGACGTCATGTCCATCTTTTGGTCATGAAAGAAAAAAATACTAGGTAGAATATTGCTTTCCTGCAAATAGTCTGACATTCTTTTATGTATAAAATTCTCAAAGGTACAAAGCTTTTTAAAAAAATGGCCTCAAATGGTTCTGGGAGAATTTTTATGATTATTATTATAAATTACAGTTTATAATTATTATTATTATTATTATTATTATTATTATTATTATTGTCTCTATTATCACAGTCTTTGCTGGTGTTCTTTTTGTGCATCAGCAGCGCGCAAACCATGCACCTAGAGCGTCAGTCACTCAAGTCAATCATTCTGTTCATACACTGAGCACCTTTCTGAGGATTCGTGCAGATCCCAGCATGCAGATCTTTTGAATCTCTGTCATAGTAGCTCTCTCTGATACTTTCTTGGTGTTTTCTACCATACCCTTCTTCACTGTACCAAGCGCACTAACAACCACAGGGATCACTACGGTTTTCATATGCCACATTCTCTGTATTCTAGTTCTAGGTCTTTGCATTTTTTTTTCAGTTTCCTTCAGTGCGATGTTTCTATCTGATGGAACAGTCATATCAATAAGTTTGCAGGTGGAATTCACTGAATCTTTAACGATGATATCTGGTCTGTTCGCTGTTATAGTTCTATCAGTATTGACTGGCATGTCCCACATGATAGTGATGTTGTTATCTTTATTGTGTATCACGGTCTCTGGTTCGTCTTCGTCCCAGTTGTCTGTAATCTCTATATCATGATCTTTACATATGCTCCAATGGAGATATCCTGCAGCATTATTGTGCCACATCCAGATACAATATGGTCCACTGTCTCTTCATGTTGCGAACACAATCTGCATTTGCTCTCCACTTGCTGGCCACATATTACTTTCTGGTAGTTTCTGGTGTTTATTGCCTGGTCTTGAGCTGCTACAAGTAGTCCCTCTGTTTCTCCTTTCAAATTACTTGACAACCATTTGTTGGTGGTGACTGTGTCTACATGAGGCTTCTCTGGGATCTTTGGATACTGGCCATGCAATGCTTTGCTTTTCCACTTTTCTTCTTTCATTGACTTCATCTTGGACTTAAACACGTGTTTCAGGGGTTTAGCATTTTCAGAGGCAGATTTATCTTCTCTGTTCTCAATCTCTGGCATTGTTACTTCGCTTTTGAATTTAGTAGCATTCTTGGATATTGAATTTTTGGCTTTAGATCTTTCATGTTCAAGCACCTACTCTGGATATTGCCCTTCCTTGTGCTTCAGATAGTGATCAAGCCCTATTGTTGCAGTTTTGAATGCTGTTTCTACATCAATCAGGCCCCTACCTCCATCTTTTCTTGGGATGTACAGCCTTTCCACATCTGCTTTAGGATGTAACATCTTGTGCATGTTCAATAGTTTGCGTGTTTTTGTGTCAATCTTCTTCAGTTCTGAGATTTTCCAGTCAATGATGCCAAAGCTATATTGCACAACTGGGACTGCAAGACTATTGATAGCTTCTATTTTGTTATTATTATTATGTCGCAGTATGAAACTTTGGAATGCTGTCCACATTATGAGTAGTATAGGGCGCATAGCGTAACCTACACCACTTGAGAAGCTATACTTAGAAGTAAAAAAAGGTCGATACGAAACCTAATACAATCCTAAAATACATAGTGATAAGAATCTCTCTACTTAAAAAGCCAATTTACAATATTATTAAATTCTGATACTCTGTAAAACCTTCGCTATCTCTACTAAAAGCTTATACATAGTGATATAAATCTCTCTACTTAAAAAGCCAATTTAGAATATTATTAAATTCTGATACTCTGTAAAACCTTCGCTATCTCTACTAAAAACATATTTATAATAATATCACACTCTAATGTTGTAAAAAATCTAAGTAAAAACGTCAGCAAGCTTGTGTTTCTAGATTTCTAGAGAAAAAACAAAAACCTAAAAACTGAAGTCCATAGCGCCCTAACTAAGTATTTATCTTAAATGTTCTGGCAATGTTTAAAGTGTTTGAGATGAGCGACTTCTGCATTCGCTCAAGTACGCTCCGTGCTCTCGCTCCAAGTAGCTTCCTCACCGACTTCTCTAGGTGTTTAGAGTAACCCCCCAGTACGTCAATTATTACGTTGTACTGTTCAACCCTGTAACCATTGTATCTCTGCTTCAGCTCCCACATCATGGGCCCATACTTGAGTGTCTTTTCCTCATCTTTCTTAGCTCTAATCTCAATCCATGGGCAGCTCATTTCAATTGTGCAGACTTCTTTCCTCTCGTGGTTGACAAGTCGCGCGTCGATCCGATTTGCTCTAACTTCGTTGTGCTCTGCATAGATGGGAATATCCCAAAACGCCTCACTCGTGGTGTTCTGGTAGGCTGGTTTTGGCATCACCGGTGAGTACCATGGTGGAACCTCTTCCATTAACCCATGCTCTCGCAGGAGCTCAAAAAACAGAATCTTCAAAGCTGCATTATGCCTGTATAGGTACTTGGTTTGTGCCAGGGAGGAACATCCAGCCAGTACATGTGCAACGCTCTCAGCTACCTTCCCACATAACCTGCATAGAACTTCGCCGTCGGTGGAGGTTTGCGTCTTCTCCTTTGTGTAGAGCTTCGTAGGTAACAACTGCTCATACAGTTCATACATGCCCGCGATGGTATGTGTAGGGCATGTAGCCCAACCTTTTAACCATGCAAAGCAACTGGCTATGCTTAGGCTCTCATCTTCCTATCTGATACGGAATAACTTTCCTTGCCACTTTTTGTTATTATTATTATTATTATTATATTTTCTTTTTCAGCTTTACCGCTTTCAGGATGGAATGTGACTGTTTTGATGTCCAGTCATTTTGGTTTTACTATTCAGTTGTCTGCACTCCACACGTACATTGACCGGACTGCCAGTTTTTATTTGATTGTTCTTAAAACTCCAGCGGGATATGTACTGGCTGTAGAAACTTTTCCAGGAAGTGCGACAACTGAAGATATTACCGGGCTGAGACCCTCCACGATGTACCGATTTTGCGTGTATGGAATTGACGAGACTGGACAAGCCTACAAAACCAGTGAAAGTCTGGCTTCAACTACTGACGGTAAACTATACATTTTGCATTGCTTTCTGTTTATGTGGGTATTGTTATACGCCACCAGCTAACCTCTAATTTAAACCAGGCCATACGTCAGATAAGATTATGATTCCTTCGAAGAAAAGGGAAGGAACATCCAAATTATTATGATGTCCTTTGGCACTGAAAAGTTAGTACTTTAGCATCGATGTAACAGCCATGAAGGTTTATACTACCTGCTTGTAGCCTTCCTTCTTGTTCCCTGTTTGTAGCCCTAGTTCATACCTGAGCTTTTATCTCCCTCTTTCATTGCTAAATAATAACCGGGCACAACCTATTTTTTTTTTTTTTTTTTTTTTTTTGTTTTGTTTTTTTTTTTTTTTTAAAAAATTATCTGACCCAATCAGACAAACGCTTTCGCCTTTTTCTGATGGCTTCTTTTATTTTTCTATTTGTAAAGTATTTTGTGGGTCTCGACCAAGCGCTAGTAGTCAAATTGTTGGTGGTTCAGTTGCAAGAGTGAATAGCTGGCCGTGGCAGGTGATGTTGATCAGAACTTCTGGAAGCCGGTTGTTTTGCGGCGGATCGTTAGTAGACCCTTATTGGGTGGTGACCGCTGCACATTGTGTCAGAGGGAAATCGCCGTCTTCCATCAAAGTAAAGTAAGTTATGCTTTAACTTTTTCAAAACCAGAAGAAATTCCCCACTTAGGAAAATCTAGGGAGAAGCTTTGGGCGCAGTGATTGCCTGAATTTTATCGAGCTCTCTTTGTATTGTCTTAAGTTATAAGTGATTTCAATCGCGACAGCATGCAGCAGTATGCCACATTTTGAACTATGAGTTGTGCTACCGTGCGTTGTTGAATTGAGGCCTCAAATGTCATAAATGACCCTAAATGTAATAAAGTTTCTAGTGTAATAAAGGGCGCTTTCCATTCAACCCAAAAGTCCGGAAATTTCGGTTGGTTCATCAAATGGATCGGACCATTTCGGTTTGGTCCGACCGGAATATTCGGGACCAGCTTTGAAGGTGGTAAACTGTGACCGGTCTGGTCATTTCGGTCGATCGGACCGAAATGTCCCTTTCCATTTGCCAAAATTGTTGTCCCCAGTACCGTTCTTTTCTATCCCGCTTACAAGAACAAGTAGTTTCCAGTCGAAAGTGAAGTGCTGAGAGTAAAGCATGACATGTCAAATAGTTTGAATCAGTTGCAGTTTTTTTCGATTTTTGATATTTGCCATTAACATTGTCAAATAACTGACGCAACACGACACGTAGGTGACAAAAAGAGTATGTGTAATCAACAAGCTACAATTGTATAAAAGTCCGTGAGAATCAGCGTATTACTTGTCTGAAACCTGTCGACGATATTTAACTAAAGCAATTTATCAATTAAGCGGAAATGAATACAACAAAGCCTGGCTGAAAACAAATTGGCCAAACACCGAATGTATTTACCTTACGGTTCCAGGAATTGCTTCGAATCGGTCGAATATTCTGAGAAACGTATCGCTTCAATTTACAAGAATTTTTTACCTTCACTTGCATTCATAGGCTTTCTACACGAAAGTATTCCTCCGCCTTTAGTTTTCCACCGCCCCTTTTCGACAGTCGAGTGTTCTTTAGGATATAAACAGTATTTACTTTTCACTTTTAGAGCGTAATTATGAGTGTGCTGCAAAGCCACAATAACAAAACGGGCGGTAGCTTGGGTCGGGTCTGTGCTATCGGAAAGTATCGTTCCACTGAGCACGTGAAGTTTCCGAAATTTCAAACCGGAACTTTTGTTGGATGGAAAGCGTCCAAAGTTTGGCCCTAAATGCAATATTGGTTCTAAGTGTAATAAAGTAGTAAGAGAGTAGAATAACTATTGACCGTAACCTTGATAAAGTCGCATTGACTTAAATGTCATAGCCAGGCGATTTACTTTCTACGCCATATTGAAGTGCAGGGCGGGCTGGCAGCGAGGTCTGCAACCAAATTTACATGATCACCCCAGTTAAGAAATTTGGCCGAGTGAGACTGAGTACCAATTTCCTTAAAAAAAAAAAAAAATATGGCGCAGAATGCAGACATGGAAGGACGGTGACTTTTTCCTCGGTTTTAAGTTTTCCCGCGTCCAAATATCAAGAAAAGGTTTTCATGAACTTTTTTAATGGAATTTTTGGACAGTCATGGGTGACTTTACTTTTCGTGATTCAGCATCTCGGCAAGTTCAGTTATTTATAAGCTCCGTGAATTTTACGAGTGACCAGTCTGCTCCATCTCTTATTTTTTTCCACTTGCAGCGGCATTACGACTCTCTTCCTTATCCTAAACATATGCTATGAGCACACTACATCAGTATGAGTCTTGCAACATTCAGCATTTAAATGTTCTTTAAACCAATTTTCTACTGCGCTGCTCGTACGTTTGTTTGTACATTGGGAGCCAGAACAAATATTTATGGGCTTAAATACAGAATACAGGGCCAGATGAGTTAAAGCCAGGGTAAATTTTCCAATCACTTTGATTCACATATACTGGGTCTGTCAGTATAAGCTATTTTTATTACCAGAAGGCTGGGAGGGGTTTTGAAGGTTCATTACCTTCAAAACCTTCAGTGGAACATCATTGGACTGATAATCAATAAATATTTCCAACAGCAATACCGTATTTAGTAGTTTATATTAGATAGTGACTTCGGTTTCAAGTATTTCCTTGAAATTTTTGCTACAAAAATTACCCTTTAGTTCTGAATTATACTTGAAATGATTATTATTTAGTGTGGGGACAAGAGGCTAATCCAGTTGCTAATAAGAGTGAGTACTACATTAGAGAGGGGTATGCATTGAGAAAATCCCTCAAGGGACTAAAGTACGAGAAACAGAAAAAAGAAAATTGAATGTTTTCCAAAGTTTACAAAGAGAATCAAAAAGATAAATGTCACCATTTTCCTGGTATTATAAATTTCCTTTAAAGCATATTTAGCCAGATATGGTCCTCGTCAAAACATGCAAACTTGAACATTTATTTTCTGAACTTCGCTAATCTTTTTTAAAGGGAACCTCCACTCTTACTACAGAATAAGTTTAAATCGAATAAAATTATGTTGATAAACAAATTTGTTGGAAATTTGTCCCTAAAAAAGTGTTTGTATCAGGAAAAGTGAATTTTAAAATCGCTTATTTTCACTTTCAAATTTCGCGGGCGCCGCCATCTTGAATAATTGTGACGTGTTATGGTTGCTCTATTGTTCTGACACAAAGAGCTTTTGTTTAGTAACAATAGGGCAACCGTAACACCTCACAATTATTCAAGATGGCGACGCCCGCAAAATTTGAAAACAAAAATAGGCGAATCTAAAAGTTATTTCTTTCGGATACAAACGCTTTTTTAAAAAATATTTTAGATTGACTTCACTGTAACAGTTATTTCCTGTGATTTAAAGTTATCTTTTTGTTGAAGTGGAGGTTCCCTTTAAAACCATACTCTTATTCCAAGGGGTGGTGCAGTTTTTTGGAATTTATAATTTTTCCCTCTTTGTTTGCAAAAAAGCACACTAGAATGAGGACTCCATCTGAAGGCAGTGTAATAACTGCTATCACGAAAAGAGAATTCCAAACACGCACAAAAATTACCCTTTCATTTGCCTAAGCTTCGTTTGTTGGAAACTACAGTAAAGTTTAAATTAAATCACTGGAAGATAAGAGCTTAAGCATATAAATGTGCAAAATCAAGAGAGAATGATCTCTTGGAAAAATTTATTTAGCTTTTACTACATAAAGAAATACATGAACTACGAGATTTGACCATGCCACTCAATTATGCAACGCAACTCTGCCAGGATAAATTCAAGTCAAATCAAGGATGAAGAATTAAGACTCTCAATCACCATTTCTTGTCGTCTTAAAGGTGTAGTAAAACCGTTAACAACTCTGACAACTCTTCCACTCGACCACAGCCACTGCACTTTTTTTTATATCACGAGGAATTAATTTTGGGCCTTTCACTTGAAAATATAAATTTCTCTACATACGTATTGGAGGGTTGGCCCTTCTTTTAGTCCTTTGGGTCTGCTAAACAGAAACACAGCTTGAGAGCCTGCATCTAGAGAGGTGAAGTGAGTCAAAGGGTCGGGCATCGAGGAACAATGACTGTTTACTATCAGCTGCGAAGACTACACCACGAGCAGTCTCTCTTTTCCTTGGTCCGTCGCTTCCTTTACTAAATCTGAAGAAAAAACAAGGCTGAGCCATAAAACGTTTTCGGTAAACAATATGTAGTATTACTTAACTGGGCAATGTGAACATGGTGGATTAATTATAAAAGAAAAGCAGCAAACAACAAATCCTTAAATGATCATGATAGTCGTGGTAAAATTCTCTGATATTTAGATCAGAGTTCTAAACAAACCCAACGGTGCCTGGCCTTGTTAAATCCCAGCCTGATATTAAGAAAAGAAGGAAAACTAACCACTGAAGATTTAGTGTGAAACGCTAAACTTTGTGCAAATCAGACACCAAGTAGATCTGTTGGATCGATCTTGGAAAGCGTGGAAGGATTAAATTTCAGATCAAGGATTGTTTATCAATATATATTCTCCGTTATGAATGTTTTCAGTACGGTTCATTTGTCTTTAAAGTGTTTAATGTAAAAATAGCAAAGCAGTTGCGGCTGAGTTAAAAGTTAAATAGAAAATGGACCCCCCCCCCCTTGTTCTGCAAAGTTACCAGGGTTCTGAATTTAAAGGAGCTCTGAAAGGACGTCTTCTTAAATTGCGAGTAAAATTGGTATACAGCCGCCCATACCATCCCCATTCTAGTCAAGGGAAATAGTAGTCATTGCGCTCTAAATTCTTGCTCTAAGTTCCAAGATGGAGTATGATTCTTTAAAACTGGTCAGAAGAAAAGTCCTTATTAGGATAAAAGCACTGGCTGAAAACCAGAGGATTTTTACACGAGGAACCAAGAAAAAGTACTAAAGTACATGTACATCTCTCCATTTGAGGTGTATTTTGCACACACAAGCCTAGTTTCCATATTAACCAAGTTTCTATACGTTTGGGACCTTTATTTCATTTAGGTCCAAAATTTCTTACATTTAGTGCCTTTCTTACATTTAGGCTTAGAACCTTTATTACATTTTAGGTCTCAACAGCGTGCATCATTTAGTTACTCTGGCTACTTAACGTCTCCTTTAAATTCACAACTACGATCACATTGGTCCTGGGAAGGATAATCATTAAGTTTGTTCATAATTGCCTTGTTGTTGTTACTATAATCGTCATCATTATCACTCCATCGTCAGAATCTGAGTAATTCTAGACCATATACTTTTTTAAAAACAATATTTTTATACAACCTCGTTCCCAGCGTCCCCTATTCCTCGTCCCCTGGAGCATGAAAGAGAGGACCGGGGGAGCCTGAGAACGAGGTTGTATTGCTTGCACTTCTGTCTTCTGTCGTATTAATCAATCAATCAATCAATCAATTAATTATTTATTTACTTAATATTTATTTTTTGTTTAGGTTGGGAGCCCACTATAGAACAACCGGCAGTGTTGGGACAGAACAGGAGATCCGGGTCGCACAGATCATCAGGCATGAAAACTATAATAACCCGTTGATCTATAGCAATGACATCGCCCTGATTAAGCTCTTAAAACCTGCAAATCTTGGCGTAGGCATCGGGCTTGTCTGCCTGCCTGATATGCAACACGCTCTTCCTTTTGACAATTTGAACAAAAAGTGCTGGACTACGGGCTGGAGTACACTGTCCTCAGGGGGGTCCCAGCCAAATACACTTATGGAAGCTCAGATTCCATTGGTCTCCAAGAGGCGTTGTGTGAATTTCTACCCTGGAAAGATTGATGATTCGATGCTCTGTGCTGGCCTCGATACAGGAGGAGTTGACACTTGTCAAGGCGATAGTGGTGGTCCATTGGTGTGTGAGTTTAACGGTACATGGTTTCTTGAAGGCGTAACTAGTTGGGGTTACAGATGTGCGTATGCTTCTAAGTATGGAGTAAATGTTAACGTTAGAGATATGAAAGCATGGTTAACAAACCATATTTATCAAGCAATACCGCCTAATGTTTTACCACAAAATCAATCGGTGTCCGCGTTAGGTAAGTACACTAAACAGCTTTTATTATTGTTTTACAAACCCCTGTCTAGATCTTACAAACTGAGAAAAAGGTTCCCTTGCTCTCGACTCACCACCTAGCCAACGTTTATTTACTGGTTTTAGGTCACTGACTATGTAATCGTCACATTGTCGGTGCCATTGCATTTATTTTTTACTGCCATTGTTCCAATACCGTTCGTCTGTATGGGACAGTTGTGGAAATGGGAGCAAATTTTATCTAGATAAGCTAAACAGAGGTGCCGCCTGTATTATTGAGGGTCCATCTATCAGGGCTGTGTGCGTCTTGGTCTTTAAATGTCTTCATGGAATGTCGTCATTGTACTTACATTCGGAGGTTAGGTACACTCACCAACAAGTTCATGGCTACAACAGCAGCAGCCATGATTTGTTGGGTTCTCCTGGCGAAAACTGCTACGTTCCAAAGTGACGCTCAGTGAATTTAAGATTAAGCTCAAACGCCATCGTAGACAATAATACCTGCACACTGTACATGTTGCCTTGATAACTCAACTGATTGTGTAGTCTCTTTAATGTTTAATTTTAATATCGTTTTATTACTCATTCAAAATATTTCGCCAATTCTGGTTGGCTAAAAGCACACGCATAATTCACCATAACCAGTTAGTCATGACCCAATTGGGAAGAATTTTGCGTTTACCGAGGAAATGATGTCAAAAATGCAGCCTTCTACGGGTTAATGAACCGTTAACCGAGAAGACCTGGGGACGAGGTTGAGTTGTTTTGATTGTGAAAACAAAATGGCTGACACCTCACTCGTTTCAAGAGTAAGAACTAGAGCTTGAACTAGGCTAAGTAATGGCTAAAAATCATATCAAAAACAGCAAGAAGACAACTCGGAGTGCGACATCTGCTATTTTGAGAATATTTGCCCAGCTGGACAAACCTAAACGTACACTATCGAAGATGAGCTTCACATCGATGGATCGATGGAGGTATATAGCAAGCATGTTTTAGCTATGTTTTTAAAGTAGGAATTATTTTGAATGAATAATAAAACAATTATTGAATTCGGCTTTCGTATCATATGAAGAATTATGGAGAATTATTCTTCATAAGATCCTCAGCCTCATTGATTTCATTAATTGTTAAGTTTTGGTTGTGTCAGGACTTCATTTAAAGGAGCTCTGCTAAATTAGATGCCCCTGGTTAAATATTCATTTGAATAAATGAAAAATAAATTTGTTTATTAGTCTTAACCAGGAAGTTGATGTTTGGAGGAAAAATGAAAATGTTTGTTTGTTTATCATTTATTTAACGTGTTTAGTATGGTGCTCATTTGACAATGGATTATGCTCCGGATGGAACCAATCTTCTTCAGATGATTTTGATTGGACACTTTCGTCTGGTTCAACACCATCCGCGTCTACAGGCCCGTCTTCTGGTCAAGGGGGATCAGGTCAGGTTTAGTTATTATGTTTCATTTCAGTCCCCATTTCCTCCTCACTGCAGAGGAAATACTGCTTAAATTAACTATGAGTTCCCGTAGTTATTTCAACGAAGTAAAATTTAATGTAACTATGTTGCACGTATGCAGTTAAAGTCTCTACTTATTTGTAACTAAATTCAATTAAGTGCCCGTAGCCATTCTAGTGAAGTGTATTTAATCTGTGTTATACATACATATAATGATTAAACCTCATTAGTTATGAAGTATTTTACATTATATGTGGATTTTTATTATGCGTTTTTTTGGTCAAAGCTGGCTCTTAACGAAAAGAACCGAAGACAACTTTTTTGTTGACATTTCTTTTAAAAGATGCAACAACAACATGTAAACAATCAAAAGCATAAACATCAAAACCACAACAAATCACTCACTTGCGGTTCATAGCACAAGACAAGGCTAAAACTTTATTTTTACACCACACACAAAAAACAAAAACAAAACAACACGACGTTACTACTGAGTATGTAAGATACTTAAGGTACAACATAGAAACAAATAGCTATAAAGCTAATCTAGGTAGGAGTCATTATACACTTTAAAAACAATAAAAGAGGTTATTACATGGATGCACATCCAGCTGTCCAGTCGTCCTTTTTTGATAGTTTGAGTAATATTTCCCTTCTCCTCTTTCCTTAAAGGAAAATATATGTACATTGAAACGTCGTCCCCAAGAAGACCCGGCGACAAAGCCAAGCTTATTCTTACTGTTCCAAACAACGGAGAAATGTCGTGCCTTTCATTTTACTATCATATGTATGGCGCTACAGTTGGAACTCTCAACGTCTTCAGCGGAAACAGCAAAGTCTTTAATATTTCAGGACATCAGAGTACTAACTGGATTATGGTGGAAAGAAACATAATTCTGAATGGAGTGGTGAGAGACAAAAAAATTCTCTCTAGCGTGTTCTTAGTTAAGTCGAATTAATCGTCTGAACTAACTATTCCTCACTTTAAGTTTGAAATCTTTTGACCCACCTTTTACGTGCATAACCTCCCTTCCCCCTCATGGTGAAACCATACAATAATAACGGTAATAATAATAGTAATAATCATCATAACCATCATCATCATCATCATCATCATCATCATCATCATCATCATCATCACCATCACCATCATCATCATGATCATCATCATCGTCATTATTATTATCAACATCATCATCATTATCATAAATCACTGCATAAATATATCAATAGCAAAAAAATTGTTCTTGATGATTGACCACCCGACTATAACGAAGCTTTGCCTATTACTTCGCACTTACTAACTGCCAACTAGCGAGGTAATCGTCGTGAGATGGTGGGAAGAAAAGGGAAGTGAAAGCTTGGTTTATTACCCCAATAAGCAGATAGAAAGCGATAGGTATATTGCTTACTAAAATTAACCCTTTTCGCAGGTAATATTTGAGGGGATTGCAGGAAAGTCATTTGCCGGTGATATCGCGATTGATAGTGTAGAAATAAACGGTGGAGGCTGTAAAGGTAAAAATAACTGAGATGTATATTTTTAGCTTACATTTTTTCTCGCGCGCTGGCGTGTCCCTTCGCCGCCAAAATGTTTTCCAGCTAGAACTCGCACAAGTAATCCTGCCTATACGGCTATAAACAGCACCTTAACCTGAATATTCTCATTTTAACCACACACTCTTCCGCTCTTCTACTCAATCTTCGTGGTTTTGTTTACCACTGTGGTGTAAATCGTCTTGCCATTTATACCATTCATCTGTATTCATCATTCAAGTAAAATGACACCTGCTTTATTTACCCGATTCTCCCTTAGTATCCTGTAACTTTGATAATGGATTATGCTTCGGATGTAGCCAGTCGAGGGAGGATGTATTTGACTGGACGTTGTACTCTGGTTCCACTCCTTCGTCTGGTACTGGGCCACTCTCGGATCATACAAGTGGATCAGGTTTGATGCCATTTGAAATTTACCCCTTAACAGTCTCCTAATGTATTCTAGTATATTCAGCAACCCCCTCAATTCACAAAGCGAAGAAGGAGCGAAAGCAACAACGACGGCGACGTTTACAAAAACGTCACATTGACTTAAAAATTGAATTTGCACTGCCTCAAACTTTATTATGCTTCTTCCATCTCGTTTAATTCTTCAAACGTTGCCAATTTTTTGGAGTTGAATTCTTAAGGAATGTATCAAAGCCTTTGATTCAGGAAAAAAAAAAGAAAGATGCTGTCTTAGCTTGTGTTCCCGTTTTCAGTAAAACGTGGAGTTAGGCACTGTCACGTAGTCGTGCATCGATGTACAAAAAAGCATGATGCACGCGTAAAGTTCTTGTTTTTCTAAGCCTATTGCTTTTCTACCGTACTCATTGCCGTCGTCAGTCGTCATTGTTTGAGCTCTCTGCTAATGACAAGAAGACTAGGAAGCCGATGAAATGAACACGACATTGTTTTGTTTTGTTCTGTTCTGTTTTTTTAGGTTTGGCTTCTTCGTGCTGTCTTCATTGGGCCACACTAAGAGAACATTGATGAGAATATTATAGACGAGATAGAAGTAGTGACCTTTTCAATAAATTGGCTTTAAATGCTTCTGTCCTTTTTATAGGGCATAGTCTTTACACACTGCCCTTTAAGACCTCTTTCTATTTTTGTACAATGGATGGAATTGATGGAGACCGTGTTATTTATTCATCTATTATAATTATTATCATTAGCATATTATCATATTTTTTTTTTTCGTTACAGGAAAATATTTCTATATTGAAGCTTCAAATCAGGCAACCGGTGATAATGCAAAGCTTACCTTTACGGTGCCAAGAAATAAATCGTCATGTTGCTTAAAATTCTTCTATCACATGTATGGATCAGCAATGGGAACTCTAAATGTTTTCAGTGGAAATAATAAAATATTCACCAAGTCAGGAAATCAGGGGAACTACTGGAAAAGAGTCATCCGGACAGTATACCTCAGTGACATGGTAAATGTGTAAACGGATGAAGTTGAGAACTAGTTATGATACTAAAGAGCCATCAACATTATACAGTAATGGGGGAGATGGGGCGCGCTGGGGGTTTGGTGGGGGGTGACTCCTGCCTCCCGTACCTTGCAATCCCGGATCCCGCCCCCTCTTTTCTTGACTTTATCCCTTTTTTTTATTACAAAATATTGACGATTGTTGCGTAATTTTCCCCATTTCTCTCTCTTCTCCTGCCGCTCTCTCCTCTCCTGCCTCCCGTACCCCTCCCGCCCCTTTTTGCCCAGGACGTCCACCAATACATGAATGGACTGTGGATTATCTATTGTTTCGTTAGCGGAGGGAAGGGGGGGACGTGTGGAGAAGGTGGTGCAGGGGTCCAAACCTCCCGCCCCCCACACCTTGCCTTCCTGGCTCCCTTCCCTTTTACCTTGATTTCTTACCCCTAGGGCTTTTGCCATTGCGAAATATTGAGCATTATATTGTTGCGTAATTTCCCCGATTTCTCTCGCTTCCATCCATAATAAAGAGTTCCTTCCTCCCGTCCTTCCCTCTCTCACTTCTCTCTCTACTTTTCTCCTGGACTCCCACAACCCTTTACTTTCCCACTATAAATGGTTTAATACAAAGTTGCTTGTGGGTCTCTGTTGTTCATTTACTATTATCCAAAAAAAAAAAATAATAATAATAATAAAGTTAATTGGGACCGCGTCTTTACAGGTGACGTTTGAAGGAATAAAAGGACCATCGTTTCAAAGTGACATCGCAATCGATGATGTGTCAATAGTAGATGGAAGCTGTCCAGGTTAGAAGTCAAATGAATTTGTCAGACGTAAAGAAACTGTGGTTATAATTTTTCTCTAGGTATAGTTTAATATGGTGAAGGGATACATTTGCTGCCTCGTTGTTTAGCGTAAATGTCTTGCTTGGCAACTTAAATTAAACATTTTCTCCTTTTAATCTTACCCCACACAGTTTTATTCTTGAATTGAGCATTTCATCGGACGGTACGGTTGCCGTTTCCTTGCCCATAGTTGATAAACTTGTCTTGTATCGAGCAAGATTTATATAATGATTTCTCGACTGGTCTTAAAAATTCCTTACATAGACTTTGTTAGAACACGACACAGTTTCAAATCAAGTATGTTAACCTTCGCTTATTTAAAAGAAACACTTTCATGATGCGATCGAACCTCTCGGTACGGACACCTCTCTACTACGGACAGCTTCCAATGTCCTGACAAAAGTCTCATACATTTTATTAAAAACAAACAAACAAACAAAAACAAAACAAAACAAAAAAACTTCTGTTAATACGGACTCTCTCTAATACGGCCAACGGACACTAAATCTCGGCCCCAGAGAATAAATTCATGTAAACCCAACCTATTTATAACGGACCCCGCGGTGATCAGGTGAATCCCGAATCCCGATCGGGTGAATCTCCACAAGGGGAATTCCGTCTAGTCTGGCTGATGAGCTATAGTTTGAGTCCTTCATACCCCTATAGCCGTGATGCAAGATTATTAAACGGGGTAACACGTGGTGCCCTCTTAGCACCTAAGGAGGTGGTTTAAAAAAAAAAAAAAACAGTATTTCATTTTCCCAGGTTTGCGTGTTTAAAAATAACGAGACAAAGACGGCAGTTTTTGACCCTTTTGTTTATGTGGTAATATGCAATAAATTGGACTTTTATAGGAAGCACGTGGCAAAAGATGCCATATCATCTTAAGTAAGCTGCAACGAAAGGGGTTTTGGTCCTAAAACGCTACAAAGATGCGAAAAATAATATATTTCCTTCGACGTTTATTTATGAAAGGAAATTGAGTGACCTGAGATGCCCCGCTAGATCAAGGAGATAGCTTTTTGTTGTTGTTTCTGATAAGTAGGTGGACATGGTTCCTCTTTTATCGCCTGCCATTTACAGGAAAGAAAAGTTACGGTAAAAAGCAGCTGTTTTCGACTTTACTTTACTTAACTCAAGTTTGGATTTGTGCTTACTTTTTGGTCAGATGATGCCCTATCCCTAGTCATCGGATAACGTTAAACATAACATAGTCGTGAGAGCTCACATATAACGTGGCTTTGTTATCTGTACTTGGTAACGAAATTCATTTCTTTGCAAAAAGGAAGTCACTTTCCCTAAGAATAGGGAACTTAAGATGGAGACGTTTTCGAGGCGACCGCGACCGGACTGGTAGAGCAAGCCTGGAACAGAGGTTGCTGTCGCTTCCCTCCAAAATTCGAACATTAAGGTCGCAGTGGACTCAGGTGGACGGCGCCTTGGAAGACTACCGAAGAGGAAAATATCGCTACGCATAAAGAATTAAGAGAATTAATGCTTATTTGCTTGCATGCAACAACAATAACAGCAACAACAACAACTTTATTTCAGTATTCCCACGTTAGTACGTAGTGTTACCTTCTATTCTAAACAATTTTCAATACATACGTTTTATTTACACGATACTCTAACCAGAAAAGTGAGCTAAAAGCACACAACTAAAATATCGGAGTTCATACTTTTTTTCTGGACACTTTCATTTGGCTCGTAGGACAATTTTGTCCATGTAAACCTCACTTACGGTTTGCTGTTTGCCATATTGGATCAGATTGGATCTTGACTCTGTGTTTAGATAACAGAGCTTGCAGATCCAGTGCAGATCGAGCTTGAAATGTGACTCAAAGAAAACAAGGACCTCTTAAAGAACGGTAATCTGGAACATTCTGGTTGCTAAACGCAACAAACCTGATTGAAATGAAAGTTAAATACTCACGTTCTCGCCACAACGCCAAACCGACCAGTTTCACGTCGCCGACGGGAGCACGACGGCAATGTGGTGAGCGAGAGTATGCGCAATATTGCACAAATCATGACGTCACGTCCGATTGAAATTGCCGTCGCCCAGGAAACTTATCCATCCTAAGTTCCCTAATAGCAATTTTCC